TGTGTCAGGCTCTGTGTTGACAGCTCAGAGCCTGCACCGTGCTTTGCATTCTGTGACTCCCCCTCTCTCTCTGCTCATTCCCTGCTCGGTCTCTCTCAAGAAATAAATAAATGTTAAAAAAAAATTTAAAGTGTCCTGTCTAAAGCCTTTTTTGCTTCACAGTGAGATTTGCTAGTGGTTAATTTTGGTGCTGGCACAATCTCCATTGTGACCTCCAGGGACAGTGACCTGGTGGTGGTGATACTTCAGGGCTCTGTCAGCAAAGGATATGGGATTAGCATTCTGTGTACCACCTCGGGAAGCTGCCTGATTTTCCTACAAGGGTCAGAAGCTATTTGGTGCTCTCTTTTCAGCCTCAGTTGGCAATAATTTTTAAATTCTTCCATATTTAATCTTTTCTGTATTGAAGAGGCCTCTTAGACTGTTGTACTTGCCCTGCCTCTGGCTGAAAGCCAATTCAATTGAGGAAGGGCATACACTTTCTTACTTTGACCTTCTTTGCAAGAACTCTCCTGTTTACATTGCAAGGTCAAGCTATATGTGTGCCAGATTGCAATCAACACTATGTAAATTGATACAGTAGGTGTATAGCCAAATTTAAAGAAATTAGAAACCTAATCACCTAATTTTCCATGTATGTATTTAAAAATATCATTTTTGAGCCCCTACTATGTGGCAAATAGAGGCAACCAGAAAGAAGTTTCCCTCATCTTTAGACTCTCATTACAATGGAGAAGAATGATACACAAAGATAGTTACCATTCAACATGGCAGCCTGAGAGAGAACAACCGATACTTTCTGCAGGAATGGGTGATGGTTTTGCAGAAGCAATATTTGAGCTCAAGTATTAGTTGGTTTTGTTTTGTTTTAAAGTGATACATGCCAAACACTTACGTTAAAGAAATCTGTATCAAACTATTTTCCTATTGACAACTCTACATACTCTGAATTTCTTCTGTCATTTATGTTTTTGGAAAATGTGTTCATTCTTTTTATTTTATTTTGAGAGGGAGAGAGTGTGCAAAAGAATGGGGGAAGGGCAGAGAGCGAGAGAGAGAAATATCAGTGCCGAGCCTGACGTGGGCTTAATCTCACAAACCGTGAGATCACGACCTGAGCCGAGATCAAGAGCTGGACGCTCAACTGACTGAGCCACCCAGCTGCCCCAAATGTGTTCATTCATAAGCCAGAAATTGCATGACTTCATTTCTTCTCACCACCCCCACATTGTTTCTTTCATATGATTTTCAGCAATCTAGTTCCAGTGTTCATGCATGTTGTCAGTTCAAGAGTCAACAATGTTATGTCTAACAAGTATCTAATTCTCACCAAAGAGCAATAGTGTTTGGCACTGGTCTTGATTTCATCTTGGTCTTTGCTGTATTGTCACAAGATTATCACTCTCATTCTTCTTTTCCCTACAGATATTTATAAACTAAGAATAAATTATCAAATTGTCAAATAATGGCAACACAAACAATTGTTGGGAGCAAAACATCTAAAATCTCTTAAAAAGAGGCAGAATAGGGGCCCCTGGGTGGCTAAGTCAGTGGAGCATCCAACTCTTGATTTTGGCTCAGGTTATGATCTCTCATGGTTTGTGAGTTCGAGCCCTACATGGGGCTCTGCGCTGATGGCATGGAGCCTTCTTGGGATTCATTCTCTCTCTGTCTCTCTTTCTCTCTCTGTCTCTCTTTCTCTCTCTCTCTCTCTCGCTCTCAAAATAAACTTAAAAAAAAAGAGGGGTACCTGGTGGCTCAGTAGGTTAAGCAACTGACTTCAGCTCAGGTCATGATTTCATGGTTCATGGATTTGAACCCCACACTGGTCTCTGCACTCACAGCACAGAGCCTGCTTCAGATCCTCTGTTTCCCTCTCTTTCTCTGCAGTTCCCCTGCTTGTGCACTCAATCTCTCTCTCTCTCTCTCAAAAATAAACATTAAAAAAAAAAAACTAAGAAAAAGGCAGAATATAGTGGGAGAATTTTAACAGGTTAAAAGCTATAGTCATTAAGACAGTGATTATAATATTGCTGCAGAGATTGACCAATGGAACAGAATACAAAAGCAAGGAACAATGCCTTTCTGCATTCTCCAAAATTGGCAAACAGTTGCATAGTATGACAATATAAATATAATGAGAATGTGGAGGAAGCAGAATCTCCTTACTGCTGGTGGGGCTGGGGAGTAATCAGGAACTCCAGCTTTGGAAGACTGAGACTTGATCAGGAAAATTGAAGATGCCAGTGTCCTCTGAGTCTGCAATTCTATCCCTAGGTGTATGCCCTAGGGAATTGTCTTCAACCATGGCTGCAATAAGATGTAAAATCTGGAGCTTTTTAAAGCTCCTGGCATGATTGTAATGTGCAGTCGGGTTTGAGACAGCATCATAGAGGAAATGAGGCAACCATGACCACTGAACATGTACAAGAATGTTTACAGAAATGTAAGTATCAGCAAAATGCTGGAATTCCGAATACCCCATATAGAAGCATGGATAATCAAAATGTAGTATACTCATGTAGGAGTAAAAAATAGAAAACAGTCCACAGGCTTTTTAGGTGAATCTTAGAAACAATGCTGAACTTAAAACACAAATTTCAAAAGATTAGGTGCCATTGTAAAGCTCAGAAACCAGCAAATTTAAACATTATTTTGCTTAGGCTTACATCATATATGGTTAAAAAAAACAGGGAATGTAGCCCAGTATTTGGAGTAGTGGGAAGGCAGTAAGATATGCTGGAGGAACCACACACAAGTCATTTCAATGCTATTAATAATTTTCTAGTTAGGTTGACTGGTGGCTTCATGGATATTATCTTACTTCATAACTTATATATGCTTCTGTATATATCAAATACACCATGTAAATCTACTTAAAGGCCTTTTTAAATTTTATTGCATTATTGTATACTCTCCCAGTGTTTTTGTGCAAATAAATGCAAACATGAATGCATATTTTTATTTTCTCCCATTAAACACAAGAATAATGTGTAAATTGTTCTAAACTTGTTTTTTTCCACTTGATCATACAGGCTGGAGATCTTTCCATATCACTGTGCTTTTTAAAATATTTTTATTGAAGTATAATTACCATACAATGTTATATTAGCTTCAGGTGTACAATATAATGATTCAACAATTCTATACATTGATCAGTGTATTCTGAATCTGTCTTATCTCATTCATCCCCCTCCCCAACTTAAGGCCATTTTAATTACACTAGTTCCTCAGGGTAGAACTTATCCTTCTGTCCGGTTAATTAGAATATTCCACATACATCTAGAGCATTAAACCCTATCATTTTTCTGTGATTCCCTTTGTCTAGAACATGAATTGCTCTTGCGACTTGTATTTGCTGATGTCACTTTTAACAGTCAGCCTATTTGTTAATTTTTCTTAGTTAATGCTGGGAGTTACATTTTGCACTATCCATTCTCTTCTAGGGAAAAAGGGTTTAAAATGTGTCTGAATATCTTCTGAATGCCAGACATTACCTGATATTTCCATTGGGTTCCTTTAATTATTCAAGCTAATCTTTATGAAAATGTTTTGAATGTAATATTAATAACCCCTGGGCTATTAATATAGCCAGGGCATAGGGATTAAGTGTTGGTTCTGAAGCCAGACTACTTGGGTTCAAATTCCAGCTCTATCATTAATCAGTGTTATGACTGGGCAAATTAGCCTTGTTGTACTTCTAATTCCTCATCTATAAAATGGAGGTAATAAAAGAAACCTATTCATAGAGATATCCTATAGTTAAAGGCGTTCATAAATTTAAAACACTTAAAAGAGTAGCTGGCTCCTAGTAAACTTTCAATTCATGTGATTATTATATTGTGCATTTTCCTAAAATAAAGCTTTTAAAAAGGATTCCCCACACCCTGAATCCTTTAAAAATATTTTTGTACAAAAGGGAACAATTAAAAGTTTAAAAAGTGAGCCTCAAAATCATTTTGCTAAGTGAAAGAATCCAGTTGCAAAAGACTGTAATTCCACTTACATGAAGTGTCTTAAAAATACATTTATTGAGACAGCAGAACAATGGCTATCTATGGCTATGGGTGAGAGCAGGAGATAACAAAATGGGGGTGATGAAAATGTCCTAAAATTGGATTATGGCAATGATTGCACAACTCCATAAATTTTCTAAAATCATTGAATTGTACACAGCCTTTTTCAAGTAGTTTCAGAGTTCTTAATTGCTTTAATAACTTTTATCAGGATGGGTCAAATCTGATTAAACTCTGATAGTTGAATGTGGCCAAAATCCAGCAATAAACTGTTACATGTGGCAGGAAGAGACCGTCATATATTACTTGGGGAAAGGTTGATTTTATTAAGACTTGCTCTTTGAGAATATAAGTACCTATATATCTTTTCAGTTACTCATTTCTTTATGTCTCCACATCTTTTTCAATAATTCTCTTTCTTATCCCTAAAGGATTTAATTGGGGAATGACATCAGGCTACCTTAATAGCTTTCTGTTTGCCAACTACTTTACATATATTAATTTAATTCTAAGCCCAATCGTATCAGAAAGGCATCGTCTCTCCCATTTTACCAATGAGGAGATTGAAGCAAGAGACGTTAAGTGATTTGTTTTATATTAAAATTTTTTTAATGTTTATTTATTATTGAGAGAGCATGAGCATGTTTAAACAGCTAGTTTCACAGCAGAATTAGCACATAGGTTTTGATGATTGCAGACCTTAATCACCATATGACAACAATGAGTGTTTTCAGAGGACAACTACTAGTATACGTGTGGAGTTTGAACTAGGGAAATGACACTGGAAGCAGGGAGATACTGGAATGGGGCCAGCTTCATGCACACACTTGGACATGTGAATGAAAATAAAATGTAGAGGTAAAAATAAGGCTTATATGTAATAGGGGAGGTTCTGTTTTCAGAAGTCAAAAATAGTGAAAATTTCTTTGAATCCATTAGGAATTACTTGCCAGATGCTAATTAAAAAGACTTTATTGCAGTAGCTTGAGGGAATTAGGATTTTATTCTCTTCCCTAAATGAAGTCAGGAAACTAGGAGGCAGCTGTACAGCTATGATAGCCTGAGGCTTTTTCTGTCTTCCTCCTCCATCATCTTCAGTGTATGAATTCAATCCATAAGTCATAAAATTGTTGCTGGGGTCAGGCCATCACACACACATTCCAAGCGGAGAAGAGGGAAGGTAAGGAGAAAAGAGAACAAATGGCTTTCATAAAACTCCTACTCAGGTGTGCCTGGGTGGCTCAGTTGGTTAAGCGTCTGACTTCGGCTCAGGTCATGATCTTGCGGTCCGTGAGTTCAAGCCCTGTGTCAGGGTCTGTGCTGACAGCTCAGATCCTGGATCCTGTTATGGATTCTGTGTCTCCCCCTCTCTCTGATCCTCCCCTGTTCATGCTCTGTCTCTGTCTCAAAAATAAATAAATGTTAAAAAAAAAAAGTCCTACTCAATGACTTTTACTTACATATCTGCCCACCCTGCTTGACAAGCTTGTGAATGTAGTTCTTCATTTGAGTTTATTGTCCAGGGTTCTGGAACTAAATGAGAAAAGAGTATTTAGGCAACCAGAAGTCTCCCCCACTTCCTAATTATCATACATTGCTTTTAATTTTACTTAATTTTAATTTATACCTTTTAAAGAAATAAGTGCAAAGAAATAGTGCTAATTAAAAAAAACAATACTGTGGTTGTATAAAGCAAAAAGTATAATTTTTTTTAATGTTTGTTTATTTTTGAGAAAGAGAGCATGAGTGGGGGAGAGGCGAGAGAGAGGGAGACACAGAATCCAAAGCAGGCTCCAGGCTCTGAGCTATCAGCACAGAGCCGGACACGGGGCTCAAACCACAAATCATGAGATCATGAGCTGAGTTGAAGTTGGACACTCAACTGACTGAGCCACCCAGGGGTCCCAAAATATAATTCTTTATTTCCCTGCTGTCCTTGTCCCATTTCCTCTTAATGTTTATAAAGTCCAGAAGATATTATATAACAATAGGAGTATAAGAATGAAATAACAGAGAAAATAGAAAAGAGAAATTAAGAAAATAAGAAAACTTCCTAGAACCAAAGGACATGAGTTGTCAGGCTGAAATGAGCCACTGGATACACTGCACACCAATGAAGACATGGATCCATATCAGACACATCACTGAAATTTAAGAGTACTAAGGACAAGAAAATGATGTAAGATTTCGGAGAAAAAGAGGTCTCACACAATGGGTCAGGGATCTGAGTGGCTTTAAACTTCTCATTGGGAACATTTAAAGCAAATTTTACTATGGGGACCTCTCCACTGAACTTTTTTTTTTTTTTAATTTTTTTTTTTTTTAACGTTTATTATTTTTGGGACAGAGAGAGACAGAGCATGAACGGGGGAGGGGCAGAGAGAGAGGGAGACACAGAATCGGAAACAGGCTCCAGGCTCCGAGCCATCAGCCCAGAGCCTGACGCGGGGCTCGAACTCACGGAGTGCGAGATCGTGACCTGGCTGAAGTTGGACGCTTAACCGACTGCGCCACCCAGGCGCCCCTCCACTGGACTTCTTAAGTATGCCTGTGACAGAACTGCATTTTCCTGAAGGATGATCCAAGAGAGACCAAGGAGGAAGGCACACTGTCCATTATGGCCTTTGCTAGCGCATTTAAAGCTTTATCATAATTAAATCTTTTCAATTTTTCCCTGACAAATCTCATAGCTTAACTGAATCAAAACAATTTGTTTGGTGTATAGACAAAAAGAAAAATATGGGAATGGTACTAATCTCCCAGCCTCATATTTTTCCACCTTTTGCCTCCAAAGGGAAGACTCCAATGGATTCCTATGCGTTCAACATGGAGTTGGCTTACGACAGACTGATGTTAGTGGTTTCTCCTAACTCAGGCTAAGCGATCTGCAACACTGCTATTATGGGAATACCAAGGGGGATCGGTGTGTTCTAGAACATCACCCTTATAGGATGGAAGTGATATCCATTGGGCAGCAGCCCCAATCTGTGTCAAAGACTCCTATCTTTAAGGGGGTTCCCCCCAATGTAAATACCCTCCATTAGAGGAAAATCAACTTCTGACCAAGCTTACTCCCTCAAATCCTACTTCAGGAGGAAGTGTGTGTAGGGTAAGGGAGAATGCTTATGTCTCACTGGCTTCTTTCCTTCTAAGACCCAGACAGAAAGGAGAGGCCCTTACTACTGATGGCTCAACTATCCTTTACTTAGGAAAACAAGTTTAACAAATAAAAGAATTTGCCAAGTTAGGTTCTTTTGAACAGTGATAGTAAGGTATATATTTTTTAGTCAAAGCATCTCTATCCTGACCATATATTATTTATATATTTAGATGTTCATGTATTTTTGACCTGATATGAAAATTACCTTGTAGGGACACATTCCATATATAGGATGGAAATTATTTCATCTTTTTAGCTCAACATCAATGTTAGATAATTATACCATAAAATGGAAAAATATCTTCTGCTCTGCTCAGTTGAAAGTTGATTGTTTTTTTCTCTCATAGCATACTGTTATTTCCCCCTTTTTATGTACTTATGCCAGTTTGCCCATGTACATAAAAATTATACAAACATAAAGACACACAGATACAAATGTACTTGCTCCTAGATATTCTCTTCCAAAGTTCATCTGGATTTATGAATTTATAAATATTAACATCAACAGGTGAAAATTAGGTAGTGATTGTTATAGGGGTTATCAGACATTTGGTCTGGAAAGAAATTTGACTTTGAAAGCTTTTGGATGAGACACATATGCAGATAGCCTGACTCCTGAAGGCATCTGAGTTTGATGGGTGATAAAGCTTGCAGACATTTCTATTTATGTCATATTATTGAAATCAAAATTTGGGGGCACCTGGATGACTCAGTCATTTAAGTGTCCAGGTCTTGATTTCGGCTCAGGCCATGATCTTGTGGTTCATGAGTTTAAGCCCCTAGTTGGACTCTGCACTATCTGTGTAGAGCCTGTTTGGAATTCTCCCTCCCTCTGTCTCTCTCTCTCTCTCTCTCTCAGAATAAATAAAAATAAAAATAAGAGATTTTGGGGCACCTGGGTGGCTCAGTCGATTAAGTGACTGACTTCAGCTCAGGTCATGATCTTGCGGTTTGTGAGTTCAAGCCGTGTGTCAGGCTCTGTGGGTACAGCTCAGAGCCTGGAGCCTGCTTTAGATTCTGTCTCCCTCTCTGCCCCTCTCCTGTTCACACCCCATCTCTCCCTTTCCCTCTCTCTCTAAAAAATAAATAAACATCCAATAAATAAATAAATAAATAAATAAATAAATAAATAAATAAAAGATTTAAAATAAATTTTGCCTACCTATAGTATGAGAGTTAAATATGCTGTCTCTTTTTAACTTAAAGTATTTATTACATTATGACCTAGGCACTTATATAAAGAATTTCATCTGCTATTAGAAGGAAATTAGTAATGTTTTTAAAAGCTTTAGGAAATAGGGGCACCTGGGTGGCTCAGTCGATTAAGTGACTGACTTCGGCTCAGGTCATGATCTTGTGGTTTGTGAGTTCATGCCCTGTGTCAGGCTCTGTGGGTACAGCTCAGAGCCTGGAGCCTGCTTCAGATTCTGTCTCCTTCTCTCTGCTCCTCCCCTGCTCACATTCTGTCTCTCTCTCAAAAATAAATAAATATTTAAAAAATAAAAGCTTTAAGAAATATAAAAGAGCTACAATTTATTTTAAAATATTGAGAATTCAGAAAAAACAGCTAATCAAATAGATGAGACAATACATCTATGATCCAAAGATGAAAAATATTAGTGAAAGAATGTTTGGAAATGAAAAGCAAAATACCAACTCAAATGTTGTAATCAATGTAGAGAATATTATATAAAATCTGTATTTCAGCTGGATGTTTTTGTGTTGAAATTTATTGAAGACCATAATAAAAAATGTTGCATACACATAATACATTATTAATAACTATTAAAATAAATAGTTTACTACTAACTATTAAGATAAATGACACCAGCCACGGTCATATATTTGTTTTGGGGCTTATTATTTGGTAACTGTATACCCCAATGTAGTATGAATTCCACAAGAATTGTCTGCTTTGTCACTAGGTCATGTTCTGTACTTAACACACCACTTGTCATATAGAAGGTACTCAGCGAATCTTTGATACATGAATGGCCAGGTCACAGGTTTAATTGAGTGATCTATGGTCCCTATGATCTATTATTAGTCATACTGAAATGTTGCACAATGCTTTATAGATATTGGTGGTAAGTCTACTGAAACAGAGATATTAAATGGCAGATAGTGCCACTATAAACATACTGAAAATATTTATCCATTAGCTGACGTACCAAGTTTAAACTTGGCACATGAAAAATGATTTTTAAGTCCTAACTTGGTAGGTGATAAAATTATTTAAGAGTGTAAAGCACAATGTTTGAAAATGTAAGTACACAATTTGAGTATAACGTTGATAATCATGTATAATAGAAGCAAATAAAAATGAAGGCACCTGGTGTATAGCACGAAACTGAGAATAGTTTTATAAAAGGAACTGTCTGATCATGAGGACTGGTAGTTAGTAAGAAGGGGGAGGAGACACAGGATTCTAAACTGATTGAATCTAACGTTAGTGGTACCCTTGACTTTCCTACGCATAGAAGAGATGAAATAGCTTTGGGGATAATAAGATCCACTGGGAATATATCGAATTTGAGGTGTTTGTGGGGCATTCGTATATCTATCTATCTATCTATCTATCTATCTTAATTTTACTAACTTGCTAAAACTTTTACTCAAACTATAAAGAAAAAAAAAGCATCATGAAAACACCTTTTGAGCATCTGTACAAATACAGGTTATTTAGGGGCGCCTGGATGGCTCAGTCAGTTATGCATCCGACTTCGGTTCAGGTCGTGATTTCGTGGTTTGTGGGTCTGAGCCCTGCTTTGGGCTCTGTGCTGACATCTCAGAGCCTGGAGCCTGCTTTGGATTCTGTGTCTCTCTCTCTCTCTGCCCCTCCCCACTTGTTGCATGCACTCTCTCTGCCTCTCCCTGTCTCTCTCAAAAATAAACATTAAAATAAATTTAAAAAAAAAAGTACAGGTTGTTTAGCACCAGTTTAAATCCCCAATTTAAAACCTATTTCCTAATTCTCTTCTGCAGGTAATATATAATGTAATGTTTTTGTGTTAAGCAAATTGTTTCACAGATATAACACCCACCACCAATAACATAGGATTAAGTATTCACCTCACTTTGAAGTTAAGCTGAGTTTCAATCTTCAGGGGAAATTAATTTTGTCTTCATTTGGTAGTCTGGAAAATGGTGAGTTGTTTTTTAAATAAGGAGGATCAAATTAGTCAGTTTTGCTATACCGGGAATTCCAACTCTTAGGGGTCAGCTGTTATCATGAAAGCAGACTCCTCTGGAGACCAGGGACCAGATGTAACTAAGTGAACAACAGCTAGCTTCCATGCAAGCAAGAGCCCATATAATCTTAGACCCACAAAGAAGGAAGGTCTGCTGGTACCTTTGTGGCTAAGGTAAAGAAACAGTTTAGATATTTATTAACTCACTTAGATC